TTTTCTGCCAAACCGAAATCTGCGACCACGGCGGAGTATCCGTTCTCGTCACTCTTGATGAGACAATTCTGGAAGAGAGCAGACGGTGATGAGCGACTATTCACAGGACAAGATTCACCCGACACTGTACGGGGGTTACATTGCTGTATGTACAGTAACTCAATGCCCGAGGGAAGCAGGGGGACCCCCCCACGCCCAAGGGAAGCAGGGGGACCCCCCCACGCCCAAGGGAAGCAGGGGGACCCCCCCACGCCCAAGGGAAGCAGGGGGACCCCCCACGCCCAAGGGAAGCAGGGGGTCCCCCCACGCCCAAGGGAAGCAGGGGGTCCCCCCACGCCCAAGGGAAGCAGGGGGACCCCCCACGCCCAAGGGAAGCAGGGGGCCCCGAACACCCAACCCAAGCACGTAGCCCAATGCCGAACTGAATAATATTAGTAAATCTGCAGCTTTCATTAGAGCAATCCCAGGTGATCCCGCCATGGAGGTCCTTGTTCAGGTACTTCCTGTGTGAGACTGGGAGCTTCCTGTAATAAAGACCGCTCACTGCTGCTCTCTCTCCTTGTTCAGGGTGACTGTTCTGGTCTCCGCCCCTCCTCTCGTTTCCTGTAGTGGGTGGGGCCTGATGGGGCCCCTCCCACAGCTCTGCACAGGCTATGTATAGCACAGTGATGATGTCACTAACTTTTATAAGGTAATATCTGAGTTTGCCGAGGCATTTGGCGCACACGAAGTGAATTGATATATTGGCGTCTCTGGAGGAATATCATTGAAGTTTTTGCGCCCGGAGTTCGGCTTTCATGGAATACGGAGCGTTTCCCCCCCATCCATCTCTACATGTCACCACTTCTCCAGCTTATACCACCCCGGGCGAGACACCGAGAGGCTGGATAGGGCTGCATGTGGGGCGCCGTTCTGTTCCGTGTCACGGCTGACCGCCTGCCGCAGACGCGAGCGGTATGGGATGCAGGAACGCGGAGGTGACGACTGATGTTGTCTGCGCGCACGGAATACACTGAGCCTCTTGTGTCCGACAGCCGGGGAACATCTGCTGCACCGGCCAGGCGCTGGAAGCATACGGAACCTTCTATAAACATTGCTGGATGTGTTTATTGGGGCAACTAAACAGACCGCAGGCGAGGGGGGCGCAGATGAGGGGGGCACGGGTGAGAAAGTGGGTTAGTCAGTCAGGGATTATGTGGACGCGGCACATTCCAGAACCCTTCGGACTTCCTCATAACATATAATGACAGATGAGGAACGGCCAGAATTGCTCCTTCGCTTTGTACTTTGTTCCTTTCCAGGAGACGGAACTCCCAGCACCACAGAATCCTCCACTGACGCAGAAGATCTCTCCCAAATGATTCCAAACTAAAGATGGCAACGTGAAGGTTCATGAATCAGCAATATCGTCTTGCAGCACTGGGGGGGACATTAGAGTATAAGCACAATTAGGAGCCCTGGGATCAGTCTGGAAAGGACACGCTGCAACAAACGGCTTTTTCTTCAGAACAGAACCAGGAATCTGGAACAAAGTTGGGTCATTCCCTGTAATGGGGGGAGGGGATCGATCTTCTCAACAAAAGTGGAATTACTTTAAAGGGACAACCTGTCAATCAATCAGCAGGACTGTCAGAGTCTCTGCCCCCCAGCAAGGCAATGCTCCAATGAGAAGCCCTCTACATAAACACTGACCCAATGGTGCCAGGAACCCACCTTGGATGTGAGGTCGCGGTGGAAGATCCCCTTGGAGTGAAGGTACGCCAGTCCCAACGCCATGTCCAGCGCCAGCTTCACCCGGACCTCCCACGGCAGGTGCTGGTTACTGTCCAGAAGCTGCTCCAAATTCCCGCCGTTTATGTACTGGAAGAGAAGGAGTTCTGGGTCAGTACAGGGTGGGGGAGGGGGAACATGCAAAAAGAATTCAGGAGGCAGTCAGTCTGTTCTAGGAGGAACCTCCAATAGGAAACTGTGCTTCTCTATGCAATGCCGGCAGATCACCACGCTACAGTCTATGGGAGGGGCAACTGAACTCCAGCCCCCCCAGCTGCGGAAAAACTACCAATCCCATGAGGCATTCCCACAGCCACCACTCCCAGAGACAGATGCATGATGGGATATGTAGTTTCAGCACAGCTGGAGTTTGGCTACGCCTGGTCTATGGGTTAAATGTCCAGTTTCGGGATTATATTGAACATTTTCCATCTTGTACTCGGGGAAATAAACTGCGACTCTGTTACTCTTTACTTCCAATACAAACTCTTCTCCCGCAGTACTTCTTCCCTGCCACTAGATGTCCTCAGTCTGACTCAGCATCATTCAACCCACTTCCTCTGAGCCCAGGACGTCCTAGATCCGCCCCCCCAGCCTGTGACTGGACAGTGAAAGGAGAAGCAGCACAGCGATGAGCTCCTCTCTTTCTATCAGCATGCATCTTGAAGGCACATGGCTCCTCGTAGTCCTGCTTCCTCTCACACTGCAGCTCTGCGTGTATTTCATGATGCGTTGAGATTACAAAACTGCATTTAAAGGAGAACTACCAGGTGTGCATTTCACTCCTCCTCATAGTCCGAGCCGACGTGTGATAATGGGACTGTCACAGGTCGGCTCTATAGATGGGGAAGTGAGCGAACACACACCGGCGCTCGCTCACTTCTGGATCCTGTCCCTGCAGAGAGCCGTGACTGTCACTCACGGCTCTCTGCAGGGGTTCCCCCCCCTCCCCGATCCTCCAGCGCTGACTGGAAAAACGGATGAGGAGTGGGCGGGCACTATGGTGATTGACAGCTGCATGATTGGCAGAGGCAGAGCCAGCTGTCAGTCACGCAGGTGGGCGGATCCAGACATAATTGTCGGGATCAGTTTCAGCTGCGGCGTCTCAGTATACCGCGAGCTGTAGCTCCCTATATACTGAGCTTAGGGTGACGGGAGGACGCTAGTTTGTGTCCTCCCGTTACCCTAAGGAGAACTATGGGGGAAAACACTGACCCCGTAGTTCTCCTTTAAAAGGAGTTCTATAGTCCCGGCCTCTGCTCTCCTGTCACCCCGAGTGCCCGGTACCGCAATGCCGAGCGTTCCATTGCCCTGCGACTTGGGTCACGAGGACAAAATGTCGGTCACGAGATTACACAGGTTGAGAACCGCCGGTCTAGACGGATCTGGTTATTAGAACACACGGAAATCCGATATATAAAAGTCACAAAAAACCTAAAAAATGTCTATCTGGGAGTTCACCTTTTACGCCCAACAGAGGTCCTGCCCCTTCTCCAATAAAAAAAATTTGTGGACGTGCACTTTAAATGATCCAGAGAACACGCGCTCCGACTGACAAAATCAACCTTCAGATAGTTATTTTCGGGCCGCCTTGTTGGGTCTCTGGCACCCGGAGGGTTAACAGGTGACTCCGCATCACGCAGCGCTGGAATGTCCATTCATCATCTCATCATCAATGTCCATTCATCATCTTTCATGTCACGCCCATTGTCCTGCGTGAAGGTGACGGCGAGAAGTCATGTGACACCTTTGTGTTGTATTGTTCCTCTACAAGCCCCGCCGGGGGGGGGGGGGGG